CATTTTAGAGTCTTTCACTTGAACGAAGTCACCCCTCTTAACCATAAGGTGACACTGCAGATGGTTGGACCGTCTAACTCTATTTTCCCTCATCTTATCGTCTATTAGAGCTAACCCAAATTTTCAATCAAGATTTGATCATACTCTTACCATTTCGTATTATTCAACATCTATAATCTGTTTTCCAAATGACATAATAGATGAAGAAGACCATAATCGATGCTCTATATCTGTTTTACTTTCCCCTTGATGCTCTATGTCTGTTTTACTTTCCCCTTCTATATTCACTTTTTACGTGGGGTTGTATGCATCAATTTTGTAATACAAATCACTTGGATGGTGGTTTGTAATACAAATAGTTGTTTGCAATACACTAACTGCTCTGTTATTTAAGTTTTATGGTACGAAGTGAATTGTCTTTTGTTTACATATGCATCGATAAGAAATACATGATCTAGTTCCACTAGCTATTCCCAATCAATGCTTGTAATATTACTATCGATATGAGGACAAATCAATATATATATTGTTGTGGTTTTAGATTAGGTCTTAAGAGTGAACCTAGTAACTCAAGAAGTGCAATTTTGGTATGGTTCTATTATAGGAGCATGCTTGTCGAGGCTCATTGCATCTCGAAAATTTTATCACTTCAAATCACGTAAAATTACCTCAAGCCTCTAGGTCCATTTTATTTTTTATGGGAGAGTATGAGGTCAACATGTTTCTGACTGCTATAGTTAATGTTCAATGGGCCAGATTGAATCTGGATCGATCTAATGATCACAATTGCATTTTGTATTTGAAATTTTAAGTGTCTATTTTTAAAAAATAAGCCAATCTAATAAAAATACCAAAAATATAATTTACAAAAATTAAATAGACCAAACTATCACTAAAACTTTTAAAGGTATTTTGATTAATTTATTTTTGATTAATTATTTTTAATCCTTTTATTAGATGGGTATTGATGAGAGCCCAAATTCCATATGATTTAGATTTGTAAAACAAACTAAGAGTCAAATATGAAGTTACTGTCAAATCGGCCAAAATTCAATCTAGACAGTTGCATTCAATTATTCCATCTAGGCCCACAAGATCATTTCCCATTTTTTATTGCATTGTATCTTAAATCTTTCCCATAACTTTAAAATTAAACCTCAACCTGCACGATTTGAATACTCTTAAACCAGACCTAAACCCTCAAGATTTAATTAGACTAAATTAAAAAACGCATATCAAGATTCAATTGGACTAAATTAAAAAGAGCAATGATCCAATGCATCAGTTGTATCATAGTATAATAAAACGACACTTTTAGAAAACCATGTGTTGTGCTATTTGCAGAACCCCAAATTTTGCACACACATTCTTTTCATCTCAATAATCAATCTCAAAAAAAAAAAAAATTCAATTTAAATCCTAGATATGGTCAAAATGAGTCCCCTCAAAAAATGAATCTAGACCATTCATTTTGTGAATTTCAAGATCTTAATTTTTATAGACTCAAAATCATTTTTTTCTTTTTAACATTGTTCATCTAACGATGATAAAGTCATCCAAAAAAATTGAAAATAAAATTTTTTTTCTAAGACTTAGATCTAATCATCTCACCAAAATGGACTTTCCAAGTTAGTTGGGCTAAAAATATACTTTTCAGGATGTGATTTCAATTTTTTACTTTTTTTTGTGTGATTGTTCGGTAGAATCAAAAGAGTGGATATTTCAAATTTTGGATCAAACATATCATAAGATGGTTTTTTAAGAAAGGCACAAAGATAATAAAAGAAACGCAAAGAGATAATATGAAAAATAATATTTCATGAAAATCTCTGCGCTCCATACAAGAATCTGAAAAATCCCCAACACATTACGGCTTTAAGGCCAGATCTCATCAATGCGCACTTTAAGCATTGATAAGTCCTCAAAATCTTTAGCATCTCGATTTTCCGGCAACTCCGTCGCCCACTGTTTCGCCTTTGGCGGTTTGGTGGCCACTCTAATGAACGGAAATTGCGAAAATTGCAGCTTACCGACGACCATCTCTTCGTTTTCCGGCCTGATGAGCTCTGATAAGAGAAGGAAGAGAGAAGCCATATCTCCAATTAAACTTTAACTTGGTTGAGAGCTATATTGGATAGATGAACCAGAGTATGTATTTGTGGTAGGTGACATGAATTGATGGGAATAAATAGAAGAGGGAGAAAGGCTTTATGGTGGGCCGGAAGAAACAGTTGTGAGATAGGAGTGATTAATGGCGGGCTAAGAGATTTTTCACGATGGTATTGGGGGGGCTTTGGGCGGTTTGGTGGGATCACGCTGGGAAATACCACTTTTGGATGTGAAATTGGGTAGAAGTATTTATTCTAGAGGTATTTACGCATGGATCTTAAATCAGTTAGGGAAATACGAATCGCTCCCTTTATCCTCGAAAATTATAATTTTCTTTCTTTTTTTTTTTGTCAAACCTTAAGTTGAGGTCTGGAAATGAAAAACGGTCCAAGGAATGAAATTTTATGACAGTTTTTTTTTTTTTCAAAACTTAAGTTGCGATATGAGGATAGTATTCTCATACCGCTTTTCTTTTTCAAAACTTAAGCTTGGACTGCAATTTAGGTTTTGAAAAAAAAAAAGTGGTATGTGAATTTTTTTTTAAAAAAAAGTCACATTGACCAACTTTGATTGTAATTTTCAAGTTTAAAGGGAGCAACTAGTATTTTTCTAACTTATTTAAGGTCAATACATAAATAATTTTTTATTCTATAGGTGTGGTTTGTATAGAGCCGAGGCTCTAAACAATCAAAGTCAAAAGCACCTTCAAATAGTATCGAGAAATATAGTTTTAATACTGGAAATCTTTGTGATAGCCTTAAAATATATTTTCATCTCTAATTATAAAATTCGAAGTTTCAAGATGGAGCAGATCTATGAAAACTGGAAAATCTTGAAAATTGACTGTCCAAAAAATGCATTTTGATGTTAAGATGATTAAGGCGCACCTCAAAAAATCACTAGAAAATGTTATTTCAATGCCCAAAAATCCTGAAAATCATCATCTCAACCTCAAGATAAACAGACATGCATAGATTTCAAGTGTTGGAAGTCGTGCATCTTATTTTTTTATTGAGAGAAAGAAAGTTCAAATATATTATTAATCTAAATCAATATTACATAATCTAAAATAACGGCTTCAGATAAGGTAGAACCTCTTTAGGTCAAGGAATCTGCTAGCACATTTGCCTCAAAAGAGACAAAAAAAGAGGACATGAGATTCAAAATCTGAAACAATAAAGATTTCAACTCCCAAAAAATGTTGGAAGTCGTGCATCTTATAATGCATTTTTTTACTTTTAATTTTCAAGATTTCCAAGTGTTCATAGATCTGCTCAATCTATACTATTTTTTAAGCTTTAAATTTTATAATTAGATGTAAAAAAAAAATTTTAGTATTGAAACAACATCTTTCAATACTATTTAAAGACGCACTATACTTCAACGGTTTAGAGCCTCCGCCTTATACAAACCACACTTTTTATATTATACAACGAAACTAACATTATAAGGGCTCTAGACCCCTTACAAAATCATAAAGGGCTCAAAAGATGCCGTTAATGTTTGATAGTTTATCTCTTAAAAAATATTATATGAGATTTCAATAAAAAAGAGTGTTATGAAATTAGAAAACATTTCAATTGATCATCTTGACTACAAGATGCATGGTATTAAGAAAAAAAAAGAATTTAAAATCCATAAAATTATTTAAATTTTATAATTATGATTGATTATGGATTTTCAAGCCATCGTAAGATTTCCAACATCAAAATTACATCTTTCGACAAATTTTAAAGTGTGCCTTACTTGTATAGTAAAAGATGGCAACTTATTAATTGATACATCTATTACTTGTTAGAGCCTCTTAGGCAATTCAAATGTCATTTGTTAGAGCCTCTTAGAAGTCAAATTACTAAAATGACATGCTCATTCAAGTTCTTTACCATTCTAAACAGGGGCATTTTAAGTATTTTTAAAAAAATTAAAAAGAAATCCTAAAACAAAATAAAAATTTAAGCACAAACTCCCTAAAGTTAATTGAGACATTTTGATATTTTTCTACGCGTGTAAGAGCTTAGGGATTTAAAAAAGTTTTGGTCCGAGGAAAATAATGAGTTTTGATGGACGTGAGAGATCAAGTGGCAGATTGAGTAGGCAGGAAGGTCCCATGTCATTTTGCAAAATTGATAGTTCAAGTTTTGTGAAACCTTTATATGGCATCACCAACCAATGTTCAAAAACTTGACTCGGCTCGGCCAAAGTACTTAGAGCTCTGGCCGAGGCGATTTAGCAAATAACTCGCCTGAGTCCAATACATTATTTTTTTAAAAAAAAGACGGTAAAAATACTTTAATATGTATATTTGCCAAGTTTTATAACGTCTAAATGGTTGATGGCGCCTTGGTTATGATGTGGGATGTTGGTCGTTGGTTGCCTTCCCTAACAGACGTTGGGGGGCTTTGATGACCGGGGATTCCGAACCCTTGCGGGTAAACGATAACCCAGCGAACCCTAACAGTAAATGTGACATTTAAATACAAAATATGCTGCCTCGCCAATGGAATCGTGTTGTACAACCGGCCTTCAACCCGCCTCGCCAATGGAGTGAGGCCGAGTTAGCCTTAAACTCTGGCGATGCCAAGTTACTCGGTCGAGTCCGAGAGTGGCCACAGCCGAGTTTTAAAATCATGCATGTGTGACATGATTGTCCGAGTGGCCTTGGCCGAGTTTTAAAACCATGCATGTGACTATAATTCTGAGCTTGTTCCATCTGAACAGAAAGTCCGAAATACTTTCAATCATAATTATCACAAGTATTAAATTCTTTCCAGATCACGAGCTCAAAGTAATAAATTCTTTCCAGTGTTATCATGTTTTATCAAAAATAAAACTTTATATTTGTTGCACACCCCGAATTTCATATCAAAATAATCTATACATAAAAATTATGCTAAATATAACAATGTGACAAAAGCTATCATCACATCGGATAACTGAGAATAATAGCAGTTACATACATTTTAGATCTAGGTAGAACCGCATGTAGGACTTTCCCTTGAGTTTTTTTCCGGATATGAGAGTCTAATTTGAGAGAGAGGAGGGGGGAATCTCGCGCCAAGGGGTCTACCTCATTGCCCTTCCAAGGGTCTTAAAAGGCCATATACATGCACACAGAAAAGGCAAAAAAAAAAAAAGGAAAAAGAAAAAGAAAGAGAAAAAGAAAAAAAAAAGACAGTGAACAAAGTACTCTTACAAGGTATATATCCATCCCAGGTATCCAACATCCAGATTATTATACAAATTCCCTTTAAACATACAGTCAACGCCTTACCTGCCATTTTACACATTACTGACGAACTGCTCTTCGATCCATGTAGGCAAGTTAATATTCACTTTCACCATCTGCGTTGGAGCATTAGAACTAGTACCTGCATAACACATTCAGAAACATCAAAATAACGTTACAAAGTTAGAGTTACTTCTTTTAAGATCAATAACTCGCAAACTTATTAATATGAATTAGAAAAGAACAAATAGCAAGACGTATGAATCTAGGACTCGAGTCAGCATCTTGATGATGAAAATTACCTGCCACTACCCATAAACTATCACGAGACACCACCACCATTAGCAAGTACGTTGGACTCAAGATTAGCTTCCCCCATAACATCATGAACATGCATATGCAATCTCATCAAAGATACAGCCATGAACCCAGGGGTGAGAGACTAATCTACTTGCTCGTTCAACAACACTTAGGGGCCATTGCCTTCAATGATGATCGTCTCATCATGATGGGAGTAGCAATTCAATTCCTCATGCAAAGCGCTTAATGGCGTAACGGTCCTATTGGCATCCTTTCCAGGCCCCCTGCCTTGGATTACCCTTAGGCACCCATCAAATTTCAGCTTCAATGATCCTATCAGCAGTATGCACTACCTCATAGTAATCGTCATGGTTTCGTATTTGTGCTTGCAGAACAACCTTGCAAATGCTCTGACCTTTGAATGTCCCACTGCTGCATTCCTTACAAATCTCCCATATGCTGACAATAGGATTAAAACGTTAACTGCCTCAATATCCAAGTTCTATCTGAGAACCCGGTTGAGAAACAGATCAAGCATGACATTGAAGGCGGTGTAGTCCAACCATCCCAAAGAGATCTAGCACGAAGTAACATACTGCCCTAGCATAGTTATGATGGAGAAATCGATGATCCAACAATTGGTACCCCTCCCTACACATAAATAGATCCATATTGAATATGCCAAACTAGTTCGCAAGGGGGCAATCCACCGTTCAGCTACCAATGCATGATAGAAGGATCTTGCAAAGAGCTATCCCCATCTCTCCAAAGATCTAACCTCCTCTAAGAGGAATATACCATCCATCATACTTGCAAACTCCAACAACTCTGAGTCAGTGAGACCCCTTCTAAACTTTAGGCATCGCACTACCTTGATCCCCTCTCTATCAAAGTTATGTCTTACAACCAAGAGAGGAGAAAAGAGAGAAACCGATCAAAAAGACTTCAAAAAAGTTAAATGTTTGTCATGAGACCCAGGTTACAACAACCATTAAAATTTATATCATTGGTATGCAACAAGAAACACAAGTATGCAAGAAACACAAATATGCACACATGCACAAGCATGCAGCAAGAGAGAGAGAGAGAGAGAGAGAGAGAGAGAGAGAGAGAGAGAGAGAGTAGTACTACGACGTACTACGTACGACTAGTACGACGAGTACGTACGTAACGTAACGGTTAAACGGTACGGTACGTTTACCGTTTACTTAACCGTTACGTTACCGTTA